TGCCTTATAGCATCCTTCTTCATCCTAGTGCTCTGTAGATTTGTTGGACTAAGACCCCACCATCTATATTCCCATGCTATCTGGAGGGATGGGAATTGTAGTCCAACCCATCTGAAGGGTGCTAGGTTGAAGAAAACTGCTTTATCATAAGAGATTCTCCCTTAGGCTAAAATCCTCCTATTCTTAGTGTATATGAGGTTATTTCAAGAGTAATTCAACTCTAAAAGGATAGGAGCACCTTTTCCTTTCCTTGCCTCACCAGAAACCTACCATTCCATTTAGCAACACCATACCTGAGCCCTTCATAGCAAGCAAGGAAACATTTCAGGAGGATAAGAAAGAGAAGGAACCCCTTTTTTTCCCTCCCTTCTTTCCCCAGTCCCTGAATCCCAAACAGGTGTTATGAGGCATCTTTTCCAAGGTAATGTTTAGGTAATATGGTTTAATTTCACAATCAAGGTGTATTTCATTTGTGCAGTATTGAGATGTAGAAGGCAACTCATGTAATCTTTCCAGAACTCAGGTGGACTCCTGTCACTTAGCCTGGAGCGTGATCTTCTAGAAGCTGAACCAATGAAGGAACTGAGCACAAAACGACCTCTGGTTTGCTCAGAAGTTCAGGGCCAAAAAGTGCTCCTAAAGGTATACTTTGTAGCTCATTAAAAAAAACCTCTTGATAAATGTCAACTCAATGAAGCTGGATTACTTTCAGATTCTAAGATGCCAGTGTTACCATCTATTTATGTAAATTTTACTCTTGAGCTGAAACTGTATATTAAGTTCCTCATTGCCAACATCAGCTTTTCAGGTGCTTGAGCAGCTAAGGCACTGAGAACTTTTCCATCCTTGACCTTTGAGTTTGAAGAAATCAGTCTTCCAAGGCCAGTTTTCAAAGAGTGAATCATGATGGTTGAGGGGTTCTATCATCCTATTAAGCAGCTACTCATCATGTCTTCCTAGAGCAAAAGCTGGGGAACCTGTGTCCCTCCAGATAAGGAAAGACTGCAACTTCTGTCATTTCTGACTATTGGCCATGCTGGCAGGACTGATGGAAGTTTGCATCTGACAACTATTGGAGGGGCATAGTTTTCCCACTGCAGGCTTAGAAGAAGGTTTTAATTCTTGGCCAAACATTTAGAAACTATCCACACATTTGTTTTAGTTGCAGTCTACATCTCTGGGTAAATATAAAACCTTGCTGATACTTTTTGTACCAGTTTGTATCTGCCATTATTGTATGACAAATGAGCAGTGCAATATTAATGCAAGAATTCAATAAATGATACATAGAAGTTGTAGTGTTATTGGTAGCCTAAATTTGGGTAGGGGCAACACACAGCCCTCAGCTTTCCCCACCAAAATGTGCTGTTACAGTGGCTAAAAAATGCCAGTTTGTTCCTGAATTTTGGCAGCAAATCACTATGAAGGCTTAAAAAGAACATGTCATACTTATATTAAACATGTTAATTTTGGCAGAACATTGTTTTTCTTTTGCTACTGCCACATTTTGATAGTGCAGCAGCAGGTATGCAGCCTGTGGACGGGTCTGGGTGTGCGTAGAAAGTAGTTGTCTACCCTGTCCTAAGTAGTCCTGGGTTTCATCCAGTGTGGCTACCAATAACCTTTTGAACTTGGATTATGGGGGCAGGAAGAGCACAAAGGCAGGATTTTACTTCTGTGCTTCCCTTCCCTCAAGAGTACATAGACAGCAAAGTTTGGATGTCAAAGTGTTTTACATCCCCTTGCAAAGAGTAGCTGGGGCACCACCAGGATGCTTTGCATCTTGGTGGAGTCTTGTTCTTCTCCTCCTTCCAGAAGATCCCCTCCCATGCCAGTTTCAAAGTCACACTTGTGACTTCAGAGCTACAGTTGGCATAGACAGCACTTTGCTAACTGTAAGGGATGAAAGAGGGTGCTTCCAAGTCAGTACCTCAGCTCCAGTCCCAAAGCCCTTTTCTGGAGATTGGGCCTTGAATGTTTCTGTGGGTTTCTAGATAGTGTCTAGTGGTTATAGGATTATGCTTTTAATGCTTAAAAGGTAAATTCTAGTAAATATGTTGCATCCATAATCAATTCTTGTAATATGACAACAAGCAATCTGGCAGACAGTCCCTGAGATTTTTTATAGTTTAGTGGGAAAACAATGCAATAATGTAAAGGTGAAGGCTTTCAATTAATACCTTAATTTATTTACCATCTTAGGGGTATACTGTGGATATGAATACTGAAACAAGAGTGATAGAAAGAGCAGCAAAGTATCATAAAGTCTGGAAAGAATTGAAGGAGGAATCTGGTTTAGTGCAGCTAATGTTCCTGTTTTTATGCAAGGTGAGTTATAAACTGGTACACTCTCAATTATGTAACTGAAACAGTTTGTGTAAAAGGCTTATATGGTAACAGCTTCAACAGGTAAGTGTTTTCATGCCAAATAAAGTACCATGCCTATTTTTGTTAAGGATGATCCTTTAACCCCATTGCTTCCCCCCAGTAAAGTGGTACCTCGGCTCACGAACGCCTCAGTTCACGACCAAATCAGGTTGCAAACAGAAATTTCATAAAAATTTTGGCTCAGGTCACCAACTTGGCATCGGGTGACGATCGCAAATGCACTCGCCTTCCCTGCATGGGCGCGATCATGGTTGTGCTGGGAGGAGAGATGGCCACGCTTGTGCTGGGGGGAGATGGCCGCGATTGCATCTGTGCCTGCCCCCCCCCGTGCGCCCGCGATTGCGCCTGTCTCCCCCCATCCCCCCACACAATTGCTGGGGAGGGGGAGATGGCTGCAATCTTTGTTGTTGTTTGTCACTTTGCTTCAAATTTTTGTGAGTAAAAAAATAGTTGTAGAACGGATTAACCTTATTTACATTGACCCTTATGGGGAAATTTGACTTGGCTCATGACTAATTTGGGTCATGACCAGAGTCCTGGAACGGATTAAGTTCGTGAGCTGAGGTACCATTGTAATTATAGAAATGTTGCATGCATTATGCCCCAACATGCTTTGCTTTCATTCTGTTTCTGTTTCTTAAGTCTGATCCTGTGGCATATCTGATGGTCCCTTATTATGCTGGTGCAAGCCTGGGTGCTTTGCAGACTACTGCGCCTTTAAACTCAAGGGTAAGTGATAGGATATTGTGTGTGTGCACATATTTGTTTGCAAGGTGTATGTAGAGAAAGATTCACTCAACTCCTACATCTGGCTACTTCATTGTATCAAGCTGTGAATCTAGTTTAGGGTTTAAAATAAGGCATTGAGAAATGGATTTTGAGCCACAGAAAACTCATTGGCAACTGATTTTTATGAACTTTCTATAGACACTTGGTGCTCTCTTCTTGGCTTTGGGCCAAGTTAGATTGCTTTTCTGTGCTTCTTTCAAAAAATATTTGCAGTTTAATGTATATCATGAGATTTGCTGAAGCTTCCTCTCCTTTATCACATGTTCATAAGCAATGTAGTTGATAAAGCATTACTACCTCCCTGTCTGTCTTGGGTTTGGATGAAAAGTTTCATATCATTCTGCTTCCTGTTGGTCAGTCCTAAGTTCCCTCTAACCCTTGGAGTCAGCAATTGGAAAACATAGTGGGGGTCTGCTTCTACTTCTCATAGTCTTCTGTGGTTGAGGAGAGGTGGACAGGTGAAGTGTGGACTGGATGTGCTTTCCTTGTTTCTGCCTCTCAGAAGCAGGTGGGAAGAGCTTGTCTTCTACTGGGGCTCAAGGAGTAGTTGTGCCAAACTAGATATGAAGGTTCTGTGTATGGGCCTTCTGACCCCTTCTTCCTGCCTCAAAAGCATTTTAGGTGAGATGTTTTCCACCAAAATCTAGAGGAATTTATTGAGGTTTAATCCTAACCTGGGAATATTTAATGTCACAATGCAAGAACTTTGCAGAACAGCCTTTGTGTCTTGCATCATGATTGGTGACATAATACTTCCAATGAGTATGTGTTACAGCATTCCTGAAAGGTTTATGGAATGCTGGATAGAGAATACTGGGAGTTGTAGTCAAACATTTCTGGATGGCACCAAGTTGGAGAAGGCTGGCATAAGGAAACATTCTAGGATTTTTCACTTAGACCTTTCCTAATCATTTTTAACTAGGAAACCTTGAAAGTCATGAAAGGAGTAGCTCGGGGTTTACATACACTACACAGAGCTGGCATAGTGCATGGGTCAGTACATAAAAACAACGTATTTGCATTAAACAGAGAACAAGGAATTGTTGGAGAGTTTGACTTCACCAAATCAAAGGTAAAGAAATAGACTCTTTGAAAAAAATGAATCATGTTACTAATTACAATCATTATTTGTTCAGGGTTTTTTGAGATGATGGGTGCTTCTAGATGCAGGGGTTTTGTCACTGCCAAAAGGAAGGCACTGCACAGCCACTCTGTCTTTTTCTCTTTACTGGATTTTCTGGTAAGCAAAAAGATAGAAAAAGAGGTGAGAAAACATGGGAGGATCACAATTAGAAGATGGTATCTGCCAAATTCAGAGGCTTTCTAGTTAGGTAACTCTTGCAGATAGTGTGGTGGTCTGCTGTTTAGTGTTGCTATTATGCCATTTAGTCCATGTGGGGTACAACCTTTGAAGTACTGGAAGCTACCCAAATGGTTCAATTACAACTTCTTTATGTAAAGTTGGTTGCCAATATTTTTGCAAACCTAGAATAACTGGTGCAATTCTAAGCAATTGGTGATAAATGGAGTGGTGGGGGTGATTGCTTCAGCCAGGTTTTGCTCCCATTAGTTTGTTGTCACTGTAATCTTCTTTTTCCCAATATTGTAGGGTTTTAATCATAGAAGATAGATAGGAGCGTTACATGTGCAGCCTTGGTAGCATGATTTTGTTCTAGAATTGAACTGAGCTCTGGGAGATAGACAACTTACAAGAGTTAAATAGCCCACAAATTGGCAAAGTTTTGGGTCATCTGTGAAAAACAAGAAGAGACAGAGACAGAGTGACCCTACTAAATGCAGAACCTTGCTACAAGTAATGCACTTTGCATTAAGCGCATCATTTGTTCTTGAGTACAGGACTTTTCATTCTTGAAGTAGCCAGTGTGGGCCTCCTAATCTGAACCAGGACCCTATCATGGTGAGTAGGGCTGAAGAAAAAACTCTCATTGAAGTTGATGAGAACTTCCCCCCAATGCAAATATCCAGATCCAGATTGGGACCACAGTAGGGAGACTGTAGGGTGCTGGTCCAGACTGGGTGTGGTGGGACACACTTACTGTTTCTAAAAGAAAAAAACATGTGCTTAGAGGTAAAATGTGATTAATGTAAGTTGTAGTTTCAAAGTTACTAACCTGTTAATCATTGGAGAAAGAGCAAGAGAGCTGTAGTCAGCCCGCCAGTCCCACTCTACACTGGAGATAGATAAGCCACGGCCATGTGCAGTGCCTAATAGATGAATTGACTGATTCAGAGTCCCTTCATGGGGTAGGAAAGCTTTCTCTGCTGCTGTGGACAGTAGCATCAACCTTCCATTTATAGTGGAGGTACAAAGGAAGGTTCCATAGTGGAAGCTCAGGTTGTGTGATGTTTAATTTGTTGTAGGCTCAGCGTGCTTTGTTGAATTCGATGGCACTAGATGACTACAGCTTAATTTGCCCTGAGTTAAAACAGGGCAAACATCTACCTTCTCCAGCTTCAGATATGTTTGCTTTTGGTTGCCTGCTTTGTTGGGTATGTAATTCTTCCTTTATCAATACATCTAATTCATGAGAAAACCCAGCCAGTACTCCTGAATCATTATGGGAAATGTTTGCCTCTTTCAATTTGAGATATGGAATTAAAGTAGAATTGCCATTTTTATAACTAGTTAAAAACTACATTTGTTCCTCCATCTAGAACAATCTATATTGTATTTCCTTTGTTTTGCTTCTTGAGTCATCTACAGTTTTAAGTCAGGGGTTTTAATTTTTGCTCCATTTTGGGCTTGAAATGCGATTGTCATTGTTTTCTGTAACCTGTGTTAAATCCTTGGTTTAATGTCTTTGTTGTTCTTCAATCTGGGAGGGACAGTTGAAGACTGATGGAATACTCATAATCACAAGAAAGTTCAAGTTTTATGGAACTATATTTGATATAACTTTGTCACCTTTCAAAATTTCCAGCTGTTTATTGGAAACCAAGAGATTGAAATAAACAAAGATGGAACTCCTCAGATGGATGGCTTTGATATGGTATGTTTGTTTTCTTACCTGTGTGAAATAATTTAGATAATGGTGCAATATTGGTTAAATGACTTCAGTTAATGGATATAAAATAATCCAACTCCAGATATTTAAACAGTGTAGGTGCAAGAAGACTTAATGACTATTAATACAGAGAGGGCATCTATTTATTTCCTCTGTGTAGTTGTTAAGAAAATGGAATACCTTTGGACAGTATTACAGATAGAGAATAGCATAATGCTCAAGTATAACTGAGCAATTGTAGTATTGTTCATAGTCATGATAATTATATATTATCTCCAGCATTGGAGGCAGTGGGGCTTTAAGTACCGTGGCAGGGGCAGGCAACCTGCTGCACTCAGGTCTTCCTTGTACAGTTCCCACAGGTATGCACTAGTTCTGGGAAGGTGAAACTGGACTAAAATTAGCAAGGGACTGGAGAAATTCCCATGAGGAGGATTACATTTGGGACTTTTTAGAGATGTTAGCAAAAGAGTCAGTATGGGTGGGTGGACATGATAGAGGTGTATAAAATTATGCATTGTGTGAAGAAAGTGGAAAAGGAGAGTGTAATGATTTAAAGTGTGTCTTCCTTTAAATGTTGGTAAGCTTCAGAAGGGCAAGGATGTTAAAAGAGGGGGATGAGTGAAAAAGGTGATTGGTTGGTGTTGGTGCATGGGTGGAGCTTGGAAGTGTGTGAGGGGAGAGGGGAGAAAGAAGACAGAAAGCTTATTAGCCTATCAGCAGTTAACAGGTGTGTACAAACAAAATATAGGCATGTACTTGTGACAGAGTGGCATTTTTTTCTTTTATATTATCTTAGAACCCAGTCATCCAATGAAGCTGCATGGTGAGAAATTCAGGACAATTAAAAGGAGTTACTCTTTCACACAGTGCTTATTTATACTCTGGAATCCCTGAGGTCGGGGCAAAGGCCATAGCTTAGTGGTAGAGCACATGGCTCCATGGCAGGATATTCCAGTTTTATATATTATACCTGTTTAACAGTAAATCACTTGCTAATGTTGTGTGTGGGTGGCCCAGTCCATATGCTGATCATACCTCAGTTTGTACACTCTGCACCCACCTTCAGATTCCCGATTGACATTAAATGTAATTGGCAGTGATGCTTAAATTGGGCAAGGGATGGTTAGTGGAAAATATAGCTCACCTCCAAATTGGAATTTGCCAGGTGAAGTGTAGTCATAGTTTGTATGGACTATGTATGTTTGGATGAGGGAACAAAATGCAGAAGGTTGGTGTATGACCCTGACATCAGAACTAGTGTTGGGCATGATCTCTGAACTGGGGCAGTGCAGAACAATTCAGATAGCCTGATAGTTGGTAAGTATTATCTTGTGTTCTTAAAATATTGTAAAGTTTTTTGTCAGTCAGTCAGGTTAATTTTCTGGGCAATTAAGTTGCCCTATGCATTTATCATATTTATTTGTTAGATTTATTAAATGCCTCATAGAACAATTTCTTTTGAGACATTTACAAATTAAAAAATACAATTAAAATACAATAAATCATTTACAATACCATGAAGCATGACAGTTCAAATAAACAGAAAGTTAGCCCAATGAATAAAATATAACACTGCTTACAAGAAGGAAAACTTGCATTAGGAACAGAAGTGGAAGCCAGATCACAGGATCTAATAACAAATTAACTCTCTACAAAACCTGGGAAATTAGAAGAGCCTTAGAAAAATGCATAGGAAGGTGAAAGTATTTGTAGGTTTCATATCTATTGTTGGTTTCATCTTACTTATCATTGTGAATAATTTTGGAATTTTAAGATAGGGCAAAGGCTATAGCTTAGTGGTAGAACACATGGCTCAATCCCAAGTATCTCCATGAATGGTTGAGAGTTGCCTCTTATGTGAAAACATGGAGAACCATGGCTCATCTCCGTAGGAAGTTTTGAGCTGTATGTATCAAGGGACTGAAATACAGTAGCTTCCTACACTCCTCCCTAGCTTACGTACCTTCTACCTATTAATGTCTAATTTACTACTTTTCTATTATTTCATTTAGTTCTTTAGCTTTACAAGCTATCAGCCCTAAATAAGGAGTGAGCAACTTCAGTAGGATGGTGGTTCACATTCCTGCTCACCCCTAGAACTTTCTTGGGGTCACACCTCATCCCTGCTGGAATTGCTGGGAAATCTTCCACCAGAGAAGCAAGTTTGCAAGGAAACAATACATCTTGGGAACACATTCAATTGTATGCAGAATCACTGAAGAAATCATAATAGATTACCCTCACATTTTCTCAATCAGTTTCCACCTAGACCAGAAAATACTTTCCCCACTAATTTTCTGTAGGCCTGACTATTGCTGAAAGATAGAAGAATAGTTTAACCAATTGTAATTTGTAAAGTTTCCCAGTTGATCTGGGAGAACTACCCCTTGAAGCTCCACCAATAGAGCCTCCAGCCTCCTTCCCAGCAGTTCAGGAGTGTGCAGTGCCAGGCATAGTGTAGGGCACCTGCATCCAGCACCTGGATGCATGCTAGTGTGAGGTGGGAAGCTGTCGGGAGTGAGTGGTAGTATGTGGGCTCAGCTGTAGGGTAGCAGAGCTCATGCACCGGCAGAAGTGACCACTAGCTTTGATTAAGGCCTGGGATGCTTTTCTTTGTGGCATGGCCACCCCTTCCCTGTGATGCTGTAGAAATAGTGGTGTGGCCCTTGTGCAGAGGGCTGGCTCTGGGGTTGGGTGGAAAGAGAGAGAGTCAATGGCAGATCGAGGAATGTACAGCATGGCATGGGGGAGGGGTGCCAGCCAGAGCCCCCTCTGTGTGTGATGGTGTCAGCAGAAGTAGGGGAATCAGCTTCTGTGGGTGGGAACTCAGGCCACTGGATGATGTTGGCTGCAGCCATGGTATGGGAGGGTGCAGGGGAGGGCAAGGCCTGTCATAAAGATGCCCTCCATGAGCCTGACTGAAAGGGTGGATGGCCAATGATGTCATGTATGAGTCCTGTGTACAGTGAAGTGCTGGAAGATCTGCAGCAAGGGAGGGACAGGGAAGAGGTGTATGTGTTTGTGGATATTACTGGCCCCCGCACCCCCAGACTGCTGCTTTATGTATGTTGCTGTGTGTATGTGTAATATACTTGATATTTTGCCTGCAATTTTTTATTGTAAGCCACTTTAGGTTGATTTTTTTAAAAGGAATTTGGGTTTTGGGATGTTTGTTTTTAAATAACTACTTTCTGGAAGCATCAAAAGGTTCTGCTTTTGTACCTTTTGCAAAGTTTCAGTGTGAGGTCACATACCTCTGATTCCTGAACTGCTGTTTCCAACCCACAGGATTTGGAGAGGGGAGTTTGTTTGTTTATTTGAACATTTCTATGCCGCCCCTTGCCGAAGCCTCAGGGCGGCTTACAACACAATAAAATACAATAAAATACAAAAATAACAATATAAAATTAAAATTAACAATATAAAATAAATAAAAAATATAAAAGTGATGGTGGAGACTACAAATAAACCAAGCCCACCTTTTTGGCTTTCTCTGTCATATAACTGGTTCATGTAACTAGTCCATCCTCAGCCATGGCCATGCTGGCTGAGCATTTTGGAATTGCTGTCCAGCAGATCTGGGGGGTACCAGGTATGGGAAAGCTAATGAACTAGCCGGCTCATTATTAGCTTCAAGTTGGGTTAAAGTAGCTGTTAGGTTGAAATCTATTTTCCCTGATTTGCATGTTGACTTGCTTACACTTTCCCTCTCCCCACCCCCCATCTTTTAAAGGATCATAAAGTTAAATCTTTGCTCTTGAATCTCCTCTGCTATAATGATCGAATGACCTCTGAGCAGGTGCTGAGCGATGAATGTTTCCTGTTGCCTGAAGTGATTCCAGTTGTGTCAGAAAACGGATCAACTAAATGTGAACATGGAAAGGCAAGAACAGAAGATGAAATTTCATTGAGTGATGAGCAGAACAGCAAAATAGTACCATCAGAAAATGTAGAGCCTAATGGTTATTCAGAATGTGTTTAGAATGAAAAGTCAAAAGAAAGAGGATTAGCATAATTTGAGAATCTAAAAGTAGCATCTCTAGACTTGTAACTTTAAAAACTGTGGAAGATTACACAAGCACTACTGTATCTTGAAAATTTGTATGTATTTTCTGTTTTAGCCTTTTATGTTTATCTTTAAAACAAATTCAAATACTTAAAGAGTTGGCATCCAGGCCTGGAATAGTCTTTTAATTTCATTCTTCTTTTTCAGTAAAAAGTACAGAAATATAGTTACTCTTTTCCTTAATGCAAGGGAGCACCCCAAGTTCCCCTGCAAGGAACTGTTTCCTTTGAGCATAAAGAGCTGTTATATATATATATGGGTTGTAAGAGAAAAGTATCCTCAGCTTCAGTGATCTGATAGATGAACCTTTCAAGGGCTTACTGGCATTGGCGGTCCTGAAAATGTGCCATCTGCCAACTGGATGGCCAATCTGCAGATTAACCTTTTTTTAAACAATCTTCAAAAGGCTCACTTATCCACTACAGAAAAGACAAAGACCCATCAAAAGCTGGAAGAGTGTATTGTGTGTTATTTCAGTAATGTGATGATGGCCGGGTTTGTTGTTTGCCCACATTTTGATGTGAATGTTGCAGAAATGCTTCCAAATGGAACTTTGATTTCTTGCATTTACTGGTGGAAGAAGTCTTCCAGCCCTTTTCAGTCTCATTTCAGAAAAATGACATGTTCAGCACTTAACACTTACTTGAATAAAGTTTTGAAGCATGCCCACAGTTTATGCTTTGTGTAAAATCTGTGAGATTTCAGAAGCTATCTGTGAAAGCTTTCAGCATACTTTTCTAAAAGATACTGGTGTTTCTTTTTCAGTGACTGAGCTGTCCACAAGGTGATGCTCTTGACTTGGTGCTTTTGAGCAATATTATGATGGTTCAGAAACATTGTGGAACATAAGTTTGGATTAAGAGTGTGGCAGATAAACCATTGACAGCTAATACTTGTTCATCTTGTCAGGCATGAGCTGGTAATCTGTGGATGGAGTGGTATGTGTTTTTGCTTTGGTCAGCAAGAGACAGAATCCATGCTGGAATCAGTTAGGAACTACCCCGTTAGAGGCCATGTGAGTTCAATAGGAGGCTAGCAAGAAACTATGCAGTCCATCTAAAACTGGTATTTTCTTCTCATGTTTTCTCACATCCTTGTTGTCAGTAATTTAAGAAGGAATGGGTAAGGTGTGGTCATCCAGACACTTGAAATGTAGCTTCCATTGTCCCTAATCAGTATATGCAATAGTGAGGGATGACAGGAGTTGTATTCTACCAACATCAGGAAGACTATATCTTCCCCATCCCTGCTTTAAGATGCTGATGTTCCTTTAAAACGTCTCCATCAATAAGGAAAACTGTCAAGACTGGAGTATTCTGAGGAAGTAAAATCAGTGGAGCAAAGAGAAATTGCAAGATGGAGAGTGAATATTACCTCGTACTGATTTAATATTTGCAAGACTATAATAAAGGAAGAGGATACTGGGAAATCTAATGTATGTTGTACTGTGGTAAGCAGTAGGCTAGTATGTCCTACCCTGTGTTCCATGCAATCTGAATTTGGGTTCTATGACAAAATTTCAAGGCTAGCAATATTTTAGTTTTTTAAAGAAAAAGAAATAGTGTATGCATCCAGAATACTTAACTGAATAGCATTTAGATTAATAGAGGCTCTTGTTGTGACATGGCCTTCGGAAGGTCTCACTGGCTGCCACAAACTGGAGCCAGCAAAGAAGACAAAGCAACTCCTACTTCTGCTCAGGCCATTTCATTTAATTATGAGTTCTTTTATTCCAATTTGGTACCACCCAATAGCCAAAGCATTTTGGATGGTGCACAACATTATGAGTGAGCTTGAGAATACATGGGCCCAACAGAGCACAGCATTGGCTTCACATGGCTGGCACTCGCAGCCTGAGCCAGGCCTCAGGATATAGAGCAAGAAAGAATTTGGAGCCAAGTTTCGGTCTCTTCTGTAGGTGGCAGCAGCAGACAGCTGAGCAGAGCGTGTGTTTATATTTTGTTTCTGAATTCTCTGTGTGTGCATGTGAGAGAGTTGGGGGGGGGGGGGGGGGCTGCAAATCTGGCAACCAATTTGAACCCTTCCAAACCCTCAGCAGACAGCAGTGGGAGGTAGGAAATGTTTCAATTTTTTTCTTTTTGCAGCTTGGGTGTAGCTTTAGTCTTAATATTTGTAAGGCTCTTGCTCTGTAAATTAATGTTCAGATGTTAGGGTGAAGCTGCATGATTTTAAATTATGCTTGGGGCTCTCATTTGCATAAATTTCAATCACTATTTAGGGCTTGATGCAGCTCTAGGCCCTGTAAATTGCATGGTGCCTGTGTGACTAAAGCTCCGTTCTCTTAGCAAAAATCCCTTCAACAAGTGATGATAGTTCTTGGGAGCACAAATCCATTTGCAGTGAAAGCCCAGCCACCTGGCTTAGCAGCACAAAATTATGAGAGTCTGATAGACTTGTTTTCCGATGCTCAACTGAAACAAAATTTAATGACTTACTGCTAAATAATTTTGAAGCAGCCTAATTCAGGAATATGTGAAAATGAGAAAACATGATGTTTGAGTGTTCCTTCCCTTTTCTGCAACTTACTTATAGGAATTTGAATTTTCATATTGCACAGTAACAAAAACATGATACACGCAGAAGCACTATGTTGCACCTGATCTGAAGATTCAGCTCTCCAACTTCATTTCTGTTAAATGAATTTGTGAAGAAAAGACACAACCTGCCGCACACATGCCCATTAACAAAAAACAAAAATCATACATATTTCTGGTAAAGCAGTTGAACTTTCTAGTTGTTTATTTTTATTTTATCATTGTTTGCTATAGGATTTCCATATTTTGCCTATATTTTTCATGTCAAAAAAACATTAAGGAATAACAAATCCCTTTAAAAAATATTGTCTGCCCTTTTGTATACAGAAAGGACACTAAACATTCTTCGTTCATCTGCTATTGCAATGATGTGTTTGGATGGCTTTGTATTTAGGTTTTAATATTTTAAACAAAGGGTTGCCAGCTGTCCAATCAGAAAGACAATTGTTACTTCAGATAAGTTTCTTTTGTTACTTGCTCATTATAAAATATAAATTTTTCCTCCACAAACCTGTTAAAACTAAAAAAGTTGGATGCATTTTTGAGCATTACATGTGGGATTTTTTTTTTTTTTGCTTTGAAAATTGGTATAATTTCCTGTATCTGGTTTGCTCCAAAACTTCTCAATTTCCTTTTATCCTGGGGGTATTCCATATCCCCTATATCACACAAACTTACATTCATAGGTCTCATCAAACTCTTTCAAGTCCCAAGTGTTTTTTGGCCAAATTAGGCAAAATATATACAGCCTTGAAAGGTTTTTTTTAAAGCACCCTCACTTGGACTTGCTAACCCTGTCAGGAGGTACTTAACTGTCTGCAACTACAATAAATGTATATAGGCCACCTGAGCAGGTTTAATTTCTAGTTTAGGCACATGCCTTTAGGGTGATTTTTCTGCTTCCACTGGGCTGTCTGGATAGAAAACAAAACATGTACCAAATTTGAAACAATATAAGGTGTAGCAACATTAATTGACTGACCTGGACCTTACTATATTATTTATTTATTTCAAGCTTTTATAGACCATCACGATAGTCATATGGCTCTTTGGATGGTTTATAGCAGTATAAAAGATCAGGCAAAACGCAAAAATCCATAAATGTTATCAACAAATTCAATAAATAAAGCATCAGGTAGAAGCACCAACTGACCTTGTACAGTGACTAGATTGAACACATATTTAAATAGTGATTTAAATTTTAAAATCCATACAATAACCAACCAACCTAAAATTAGAATTAAAAAATTGAATTTAAACTGTCAACAGTTAAAATACTCTGAAAATTGAGTCTTTGCCCAGTGCCAAAACATGCACAAGGAAGGTGCCTGATGCACATCTCTGGGGAGCTGATTCCACAAACTTTTGTTTTATAAACTTCTATTGTGAATGTTTTTTCAATTCCTCTGCATGATCAAGTTATTCTTTTGCAGGGATAGGCAACATCATGTTCTCCAGATACTTGGGACAACAACCTCCATCAGCCTCAGCCAGCATGGGCAATATTCAGGGGCCATTGTAGTCTAAGCTATCTGGAGGGTACTGGGTTGGTTACCCCTGCCCTGGAGAATGCAATTGCCAAGCCAACATAAGGAACATTTATCTGTTGTCTGTGCCAGGGCAGGAAATCTGAAAGAACCAGGATTTATTTGCTGAAAATGGTTCTGCAGTGTGCAATAGCAGGGAGAGGAAGTGAACCTCGAAACATAGTTAATCCCACATTAAAAGCTTTCAAGTGTATCATTCAAAACATCTATGATATGGTTGGTGATAGCCACTGTTTCCAAAAGATTGCCCTAATCACTTTTCTTTCACATTTTTGTGAATAAATCCTTCCTTACTGCATCTAGTGCAGCTAAACCATGGCATACAACAGATTTAGTGGGAACACTTAACTGAGGAGCCACTGCCATTACTTTATATTAGTTTAATACTTTGACAAGTTGATGATTTGAGTTGTGCTGTGGGGGGCGGGGAGAGTTGCATTTTATAGATTCTTCTCCCTTAAATGCTCCTTTTGTGCTTGTTATCTCACTAGAGTAAACTGCAAACCATAATCACAGTGGTGGAACATGAAAGATGTAAACAGTGACTTTTGGAATAGAAATCTTAGACTGAGTCACCTGTTATGTCACACTCTGCAGTGTCTTTTATGATTCATAAGTTTGTTCCTTACTATTTCTGTATGTCAGCAGTTAGGGTGACAAAAATGCCTCTAATGTAGTTTGTGGGAGCAACCACTTCTGCCCTGAAGAGATCTGTCCAATTACATGGTAGCAGTCAGAAGGGCTGTTGGTTGGTGTGGGCTGACTAACATTTTCCATATAGTTTCCAAGGCTTTTTAAGAATCATTGTCATTAT